GTGGCAGACAGTGTTTGTGACATCAGTTCAGCTTGAGTCCTTTACTGTATACAACATAGAACTACAAGTCATAAATCTATTATGATGATTCCATATTAGATTAGAAAGCTCGAATAACTGATATTGAAACTTGTTGTATATACTGTACCTGGACCAAGTTGGATAACTCTGCCTGAGGCACCAGTAAGAGCGGCTACCCAAGCCGGCCGCCAATCTACTTTACCCATCTTGGACTAGTGTCTTGCCACACCGCGTATGAACCATCGACAGCCGCGCGCAACGCGAGAACTCCAGAAAAAAGGTTATATTAGAGCTCATTAGGTGATAGCCTCCTGTCATTCTATCGCTGGACAAACATCGATCACGTACAATTTTCCCTATCACTTATTTAATCTTGGTCGCTGCATCTAGGTAATCTCAGTGCAATAATCAAAACTCAAACAGGGCACCTTTAACTAGTCGTCTTTAAAGCTTCTCCAAAAATGTGAGGCTAACCGCGATCCTTGCCATTTGTCCATTACTCTAATCTTCTTTTCAGGGAGAGCTTCGATAATATCTACCTCGACCTCTCCAAGCAGCCCGGAAAGTGCAAGCTTGCGGAAAGTGGCCTGGGATGGAAACCTTCTGGTGGAGGTGAGACTTTCACACTCGATAGCAGCAATGTCGGCGCAGCCCAATGGAGTCGAGCGGCAAAGGGATACGAACTGAAAATTTTGTCACGCTCGTCGGGTGTCATCCAACTGGATGGCTTCGATCAAGAGGTAGGCTCCCCCGGCTGTTATATATTTATGAGTATGGTGGTCTGACTTTGGTCCGTCATCTATCAGGATTTCGAGCGATTAAGCAAGGCCTTCAAGATCTGGTATGGGATAAACGTGGAAAGCAGGGAGCACGCTCTCCGAGGTTGGAACTGGGGCAAGGCAGAATTCACCAAGGCTGAGCTATCTTTCAACGTCCAAAACCGACCTGCGTTCGAAGTCCCTTATTCCGAAATCTCGAACACGAACCTTGCGGGAAAGAACGAAGTTGCTGTCGAACTCGCTCTTAACACCGATGGCGCCGATGCGAATGCCCAGCCAGCCGGTAGCACCAAGAACCGTGGCCAGAAGGCCGCTGCGGGCCCCGACGAATTGGTTGAGATGCGCTTTTATATCCCTGGAACAGTAGTAAAGACCGAGAAGGGCATCAAGGAAGAGAATGGCGAAGAAGAAAACGGTGAAGAAGAGGAGGAAGGCGAAGAACAGAATGCGGCCAACCTTTTCTACGAGATGCTTATGGAAAAAGCAGAGATTGGAGATGTGGCTGGCGATACGTTTGCTACTTTCCTGGATGTTCTTCATCTTACGCCCAGGTATGCCTACTTTAGCTCTCATCATACCAGTGCGGCACTAACCTGTGTTCAGAGGTCGTTTCGATATCGACATGTACGAGTCCTCGTTTCGACTCCGTGGCAAAACATACGACTACAAGATTCAGTACTCTTCTATCAAGAAATTCTTCTTGCTTCCTAAGAACGACGATACACACACGCTCATTGTTCTTGGACTCGACCCCCCTCTGCGACAGGGTCAAACTCGGTACCCATTCTTGGTTATGCAATTGAAGCTGGACGAAGAAATTAGCCTTGAGCTCAACATGACAGAGTAAGTGATGCTAAGCGGGATTCCCTCCCCGGGGGCTTTCTAACGTAGTATGCAGTGAATTGATGGAGACCCGCTACAAGGACAAGTTGGAGCCTCGTTATGAGGAACCGATCCATCAGGTCGTAACCAAGATTTTCCGCGGTCTTTCGGGCAAGAAGGTCATCATGCCATCGAAGGACTTTGTCAGGTTTGTCATAACCCATTCACAATCCGTACGATGGTACACAAATGCTGACATCGATGCGTAGTCATCATGGTCACAGTGGGGTTAAATGTTCTATCAAGGCCAACGAAGGTCTTCTGTACTTCTTGGACAAGAGCTTGATCTTCGTCCCGAAGCCTGCTACGTATATTCAGGTTGAGAACATTGCCATTATTACGATGTCCCGTGTCGGTGGTGCCGTGTCGGCCAGCAGAACCTTCGATATTACAGTCAGTCTGAAGGCTGGCCTGGGAGAGCACCAATTTAGTAACATTAACCGGTACGTGTCCGAATGCGATGAGTTGAGATGTTTTGATGCTAACTCGGCTCAGTGAGGAGCAACAACCTCTTGAAGAATTCTTCAAAGCGAAGAACATCCGATTCAAGAACGAAATGTCTGACGATGCCGGGGCCCTACTTGCTGCCGCCCTTGACAATGACGCAATGGGTTCCAGCGATGATGAGGGCGTACGTGCCGATCGTGGATCGGCTGACGAGGATGAAGAATCTATCGACGAGGACTTCGAGGCCGAGTCCGAGTCTGACGTTGCGGAGGAGTACGACTCGGCCCACGAAAGCAGTGGCAGCGGAAGCGATGCCGAAATGAACGATGCTGGCGGCGGCGACGACGATGATGATGATGAAGACGTGGATATGTCGGAGGAGGAACGGCCCAAAAAGAAATCCAAGGTTGGAAAATAAATACCTTGGAGTGGAATTATTTGGTTATCTCCGGAATAATGGTTATGGTTGTATAATGAATAAGGCCAACAATGATATCATTAAAGTTTTCTAGCATAGTTTACAATTAGTGTAACAACATTCTTAATCTTTTTCTTTTCTTTCTTTTCTTTCTCCCTCCAATAACGCTTTTAGAGGTACCTCCATAATATCTCCGGTTGTTTTTCAGAATATGCGACGGAAGACAAGGTCGGGCGTTCTGATGCATCATACGATGGACACGTCAGTTGAATTGACTTTGCTATTGACAGCACTATTGAGTCCCGCCTGCATTTTCGTCCCTCATGCTGGCATCGGGAGTGGACTCTAATTGACCGAATATGCATATACAGTACTTGTACTATTGAGGTTCACGGCAATGATAGAAACTCTGTGACAAGAAGGTCACCTCGACTGAACTCATCGCATCCTTATTTATTTATGGTATTGTATTTTATACATGTATATAATTCTAACTTCACATTCCTCACAGGGTCGAAACCCTAACTCTATGGCGGACATTGATGCATTACCACCGGTACCGCGGACAAGGTAACAGATGGTATTACAGCATGCCTGGAACACGGTCTAGATGCAAGTGTCAAACCAAACCAATGGCTATTGTTCTGCGTGCCTCGGGTAACGAACGTCGCATCTATTGCCCTGTGGAATGTCACTATTCTTGTCCTGACTGGGAGGGGGTGCTAATGCATGGAAGGTATGTACTATACGTTTCAAAATGTACCTTCTTCTCCTGGGAGATATATATGTAGGTATGAGTACCCGATGGCGGTTCAATCTGATACATACAGAATCAAGGCAAGGCTTGGAGCAGATAGCTAGTATAAGAGATTTACCCGTCCCCCTGCATCCCGGGAGAGATTCGTGGCTTGTTTAACCTGACTCCTGACTCATGTTGTGATCATTAAGATCGATGTTTTGGAATCCATTCCCGTGATTCTTATCCACGGGACAAAAGTTGGTTTCCGCTTTTCATTACCTGTGGTAGCTTACGGATGATCAGGCGCTAGTGGTAAGTAGGTATTCAGTACCTCTTTCCTATCGGTTTGGAAGCGGGAGCATTGGGTATCTTATTTCCCCCCTGAACTGCCTAGATGCTGTCTTACACAGAGAAACGTCGATAGATTACCAGAGCACACCCTACCGGGTCCACATACCACGGGTAACGGTCCTCGTAATACCGTCGCGATGGAGAATAGTATGGATATACATACATAGATACTGTACTCCATACAACTACATCGGTCGAAGCGGTGTACTGAAAATGGTAGCAAACTTGCGATCTAGAATCGTCGACCTGAATTGAAGCTCATTATAAACATTTTATAGTCAAGAACTGGAGCGTTTTAGTGGAAGTGTGGAAGATATCGTATTGTCAACTGGGCAATCTTTCTTTTTCTTTTTTTTCTTTTTTCTTTTCTTCTCTTTTCCTTTTTTTTTTTTTTTCAACTTTCTGTAAGCGGCATGTGCTAATGATACACCATGGATGAGTATTGGGAGGTATTGGGTATTGAGAAACCTGGATCAGGTGAAGTGGGATCCATGGATGGACTTCGAATTTAGAGGTTTAAATGAAACGATTGGAATGGTTCTATAAGGGGAATGTTTTGGGAATCCGACTCTGACGGTTATCTTGTAGGTACGACTTGACCTGTACTCAGTAGTCCTCTGTCAATGCTGTGTGAGCCGGGAGTAGCAGTAGTATATTCGCATTGGGGAACGTTTTTCCTTATTATAATTTTTTTTTTCCCTCCTTCCCTTTGGGCTGTCGGTCTCCCTTGAGATCGCCGCCTTATATGTTTGACATGTCGAATTGGAATAGTATTATTGTAAGAACGCAATGCTTGACTTGTAGGAAAAGGGTGCCAGGGAAAAATAATCCTCAGTCTCTTGAATTGTCTTTGAATACTTTTTTTTCATGAATTTCCCAAGTGAATTGTTACTGATTCTCAATGGTGGTTGTTCAATTCGAAGAGATAAATTAAAATAAGATCATCAAAATTGATGTTGTTTCTGAGCGGACTAATCCCTAGGAAGCGTTAGCTTCCCATTGAATGAAGAAAGAGCCCCCTTTCTTTTCCGCCGACATTCAACTGCACCACCAACGGACTCTCCACCCCAAATCACTCCGCAGGCCCAATCGTTCTCGCCTTCTCCTGTCTTCTTTCTACGCTCTTCTGTTCTCTCTTTCAGCTTCCTTTTAGTCTTTTTTTCATTTTCGATTCTTCTGTTTGTATTTTTGTTTGAACCTTACATCTCGCGCGCACCTCCCCGTTTCCCCGAGAATCGGTGTTCTTCGAGAAGCTTTTTGTCCCCTGATTGTTTAACCGTCTGATCCTCACCCTTTTCCAGGTGTGTTCGGGATTCCAAAGGTATGGTGGCACTTACTTGCCTACGCTCCTTCCCTCCATCCACCCCCCTCATAATCACTTCCCCCCCTCCTCCTCTCCCTTGGAAAAGAATAGCCTAGTTCCAGATGCTTTCCTGATTCTATTATCAACCCCTCGCCTAAATTTCTATCTCTGCAAGGGTGTTTGTCTGCTAACCAAGAAGGTGCGACCTGCTCAGGGGAACTTCCTCATCAACGCTCGCTACCTCGACATTTTTTTTTTTTTTCAAACCGTCCACGCTCGCTTCCTAAACAAATCCCTTAACATTCACAATGGGTAAGCTTACCGCTACCAGCGACATCCCATTCCACCGGTTTTGCTCTCTTCCCATTCTGTTACCTGGCGGACAATCCTCCATTCGTGTATCTCTGAAGCTCTTGCGCTTGGTGACAACATTATGGTACATGCCAGACGCCAAAGTGCAGAGGGTCGCTCGCAAGTAGACTCTCAACGATTCAGTGCTTCTCCTTCGTTGAAACGCCATAGGTGCAAAAGCCATACGTCATGTTCACCAACTCGGGGAACTTTGTCTACCGAAAATGAATCCAAGATCACGCCAGTTACTGACTTTACGTTTCCTGTTGTAGCTTCACCACCCCCCACCAACGGCTCCCCCACCCCGGCCGTGGAGTCTCCTGAGAGCAGCAAGCCCAGTTCCCCCTTTGTTGAGCGCAGCAACCCCATGGGATCAGGAAACGCTCAAACCGTCAGCTCCAGTGACCCGAAGGCTGTGGCCCAAGCTGCCACCGACATGAAGAACGTTGTTCGCCGCAAGTTGACTGGCTACGTCGGTTTTGCCAACCTGCCCAACCAATGGCACCGCAAAAGTGTTCGCAAGGGATTCAACTTCAACGTAATGGTTGTTGGTGAGTATCCTCCCCGACGGAAGGATACTGGATGGGCGTCACTGATTTGTGTTTCTAGGTGAATCTGGTCTCGGAAAGTCGACTCTTGTGAACACTCTCTTTAACACCTCTCTCTACCCTCCCAAGGAGCGCACCGGTCCCAGCCACGACATTATCCCGAAGACCGTGGCCATTCAGTCTATCAGCGCAGATATTGAAGAGAACGGCGTTCGTCTTCGCCTGACCGTGGTTGACACCCCCGGATTCGGTGATTTCGTGAACAACGACGATTCGTGGCGCCCTATCGTAGAGAACATTGAGCAGAGATACGATGCCTACTTGGAGGCTGAAAACAAGGTCAACCGTACTAACATTGTTGACAACCGTATTCACGCCTGTGTCTACTTCATCCAGCCCACCGGCCACTCCCTCAAGCCTTTGGACATTGAGGTCATGCGCCGGTTGCACACCAAGGTCAACCTGATCCCTGTGATCGCCAAGGCCGATACCTTGACGGACGAGGAGATTTCTCAGTTCAAGCAGAGAGTATGTCATCTGTCCCGAATGGGTTGGTCCTGATCCAATGCTAATTTTGATCTAGATCCTTGCCGATATCCAACACCACTCCATCCAGATCTTCGAGGGCCCCCGCTACGAACTCGACGACGAAGAAACCATCGCCGAGAACCAGGAGATCATGTCGAAGGTCCCCTTCGCTGTGGTCGGCGCCAACGCTGAGGTTGCCACCGCTGACGGCCGCAAGGTCCGGGGCCGTAGCTACCCGTGGGGTATCATTGAGGTCGACAACGAGGAACACTGCGACTTTGTCAAGCTGCGTCAGATGCTGATCCGTACCCACATGGAAGAGCTCAAGGAACACACCAACAACCTGCTGTACGAGAACTACCGCTCCGACAAGCTGACCCAGATGGGTGTCGCCCAGGACCCGAGCGTGTTCAAGGAAGTCAACCCGGCTGTTAAGCAGGAGGAGGAGCGTGCCCTGCACGAGCAGAAGCTCGCCAAGATGGAGGCAGAGATGAAGATGGTCTTCCAACAGAAGGTAGCCGAGAAGGAGAGCAAGCTGAAACAGAGCGAAGACGAACTATACGCTCGACATCGCGAGATGAAGGATCAACTGGAGCGGCAACGCCAGGAACTGGACGAGAAGAAGAGTCGCCTCGAAAGTGGTCGACCGATCGAAGAGAAGGGCAAGCGAAAGGGCTTCTCTCTTCGTTAGATGACTGGAATTCAATGACACGGACTCCCCAGGTAATGTATGGTCGTTGGAGGCACGTTGGCGGTTCTGTGTTGGATTCCCCACGACTGTTGATTGACCGAGCGCTCTTTTCGACTGCCCTTCTATTTCTGTGTTTATTCGATTTCTCCCACGCTCTCTCAACCTCTACTTTCTCGTTTCTGCTGCCAGTAATGACTCTGTTTTCTAATTGAGTGACCCGGGCCAGTGGAATGACTCGTTTGTGCTTCATTCCATCGATCGGGCGAACACCAATTGGGGGCTTTGACCAGGAGAAATGTGCTGGGACACCGGAGCAGCGCTGCCGGCCTGCTCGCGTGGTCTGGCTCATGGTTTTGCAAGATGATATGCGGTGGCCCTCACGTCCTCTTTTCGCTTCTTGTTAATGTACTTTTGCCTACGCTATACCTTGTTCCCGCCTGTTTCCTATTCCCCAGTGTGGCCTAACCTCATTTTCCCTTCTTATCTTCGTGCACTTTTTGTCCACTTCTACACATTTTAGTGAGCTCTCCCACCCTCCGACCATCATTTCAAGACGCTTTTCCTATTTTTCTATCTCTTACTTATTGCAGTTTATTGTGCGTTAGTTGTCAATCTCAGATGTTCTTGAAAAGTTCCGACCAGACGAAAACAACGACGGGGAGTGTCTGTTTTTGTAGAGGGTGGCGTGGCAGGCGTCACTGGTAGAAAACTCGGAAATAAAGGAAGTATTACAGAGAGAACCAAATAAATCAAATAAGACTAGAACAAACTCCATTGGAAGCATGCCTATACAGTATTAAAGGAACCGATTGATTTACGATCGCAACAGTAAAATAACCTTAACTAGTATAGCCGTGTAGGGTGAGGTTCGGCCACTTGCATCATGCCGAGTCATTCAGTGAAGGATGCCCTTCAACGTCACTGGACAAGGCTTGTCTGCCTCAGGTTCTCAGTCAGCTACGACTACTAGTAGGGAAACTGTCGTCAGCCAGCAGCTCCCGACCTCTCTCTCCTTCCCGATTTCCGTACTAAAAGAATACCTACTACTACTTACTCCGTACTACCGACGAACATTGCCTTAGTTCAGCTAAAAAGGCATCGTCCAAAACCCACTCACCCACGACCGCCCCCGCCCAGCCTCCCCCAAAATAGTGCAGGTCCGCAGGCCTCCACCGCTCAATTCGCTCCCCTTCCAGCTTTTCTCGACCCTTCTCTGTTCATTCTCTCACGTCACGGCCACTTAGCGCATTGCTACATCTCCGCTCTCGCTCTCTTGAGCCTTCCTTTTCACTATCGTTACGCACCTCCCTCATTCCCGAGTAAACTAGACACCATCAGCTCTCATGGCTCCCCCTCCTTCATCGAACTTGCCTTTGGCCGAAAGGCTGAAGGCCCTGGCTCAGACCCTACAGTATGTGCTTCGCTGGCCTTTCCCCAGCTCACAATGTGGATACTGACCGTATGATTCTCAAATAGATTTGCTTGGTTTGCTGGGTAGGTTTCCCTTGTGATTGTGTGCTGCCTCGGCCGGCGGGACACGGTACCCGTTTGGAGCAATTTGCGACGACATCCACACACCAGATGTGGCCCCCCATCGGACGACAGTCGCAAGTCAAGGATGGGCGAAAACAAACTGGCTGACTGGCTTTAGGCACGTCACACTGCTGCTCTCCGTCTTCCGCTATCTCCTGTCCTACATCACCTTCAACTACTACTCGTCCTCGGCCCAGGTGTCCTACCGCTTGGCTTTCCTTTCGGCTGCTGCGACATACGGTATCGTGGTGTACAAGGGACACATCGCCCGCGGTCGTCTTCAGGGTAGCGTTCCGAACATTGCGGTGAAGCTCGCTGGCGATGAAAATGTCCAGTATCTTGGTGAGTAGAATTGCCAGGTGGTCAAATCCAATCGGCATGGGCTGACCGAACACCAGGAATGGCGATTGTCTGGCTCTATTCCCGCCAGGTCCCATTGGCCCTCCTCCCCTTCAGTGTTTACTCGATCTTCCACGTTGCGACATACTCTCGCGCCCACCTGATCCCCACCTTGCAGCCTCCCGCCCAGGGTACTGCCGGATCCGCGTCGCCCTCTTCTCCTGGTGCTGCCAAGCCCGCGGCCAGTCCTTTGGCAGACACCATTGGAAGATTCGTCAAGCAGTACTATGATGCCAGCATGGATCTCGTTGCTGGACTCGAGATGGCGCTGCTGTTCCGTCTGGCCTTGGGAGTTTTGACCTTCTCCAAGGGAAGCATCCTTCTCTTCTTTATCTACGTGGCCTTCTTCCGCGCGAGATACACTCAGAGCTCGTTTGTCCAGCAGGCCGTGCGCCATTTCACCGCCCGCGTGGATGCTTCGGTTTCCCACCAGAGCACTCCCCCCCCGGTGCGCCAGGGATGGGAGACCTTCAAGGGTGTTGTTCGCCAGGCCTATGAGAGCACCGATCTGGGCCGTCTGACCTCTGGAGCCCCGGGTAAGAAGCCGCAATAAATGGTATCTTCGGCGATGAACGATAACCGGCCGAGACGCGTGGGAAAGGCCCAATCCGATTGCGACGCATTTTAGACGGACTTAGACCATTCGCGAAGGGCCCGGGATCACAGATTGACGTGTGGGCTCTCGTTTGTAAAGTGATGAGCATATAACGAATAATGTGGCATTGGTCCTAACCAAGTTTGAGTTGGGGGAAGTGGTTCTTCTTACGATAAGCAAAAAATTGTTTACATGCTGCTGCGGGAGGGGATGTGGATGTTTAGTGCTTAAGAAGGGGGGGTGGGGGAGAGGAGAGTCGTATTATAATCCTTGTATTGCCATTTTGTTGAACTCGGGCAGCGCCCAGTTAGGAAGTCATGCACATGCTGGACCTCCGATGGGATGTTGAGCCCGGACGAATTCCATTGCATTCCTGTATTTGCGCGAAACTATTACACATGTTTGTTGTTGAGGCATAAGGTTGTGTTCTACAACGGTGGGAAGTCTAGACCATTGGTCACGTTCTTGATCGTAATCTAGTTTGGGTTCCACCGGTGCTCAAAGATTCTTGTGGCAAGTCTCTGAGTTATTTTTCTGTCCACTGTCATTTGTTCCTTCGGACCCGAGTTAAACTCGCGAGAGCTTATTAAGGCGGCGTGGTGTGCCTGAGGCGGAGACTCGGCCTCGGACGCGGAGAAAGCGGAAAACCGACCAAAATTTTGGGCTGAATGCTGAGCGCTGGTCCATCATTTCTGTAAACTACCGACTTGGAGAGGTGCCATGTTCCGTTACTTGACCTCTCGATTTTCCTTGACTTTTGTATAGCTTAAATCTTCTCCGATTCCTCTTTCCCCCCACGTCCTTCTTTCCCACCGTCATCCTTAATTGGGGTGGCATCCGTCCGGTAAACGTCGCCGCCGCATCCCAACCCCCCGTGGTCTGGCCCGCACCAGGATCTGGTGGGTTGCGGTATTCTTGCCATGAGTTTGACCTCGCGCGTGTTTGGCCTGTTTTCTACGACAGAGACAACCGTTCCGGACTCTCCCCCGGCCGCTTCGTATTCGAATACCACCAGCACCGGCGACCATGTCTTCCATGCGACGGGCCCGATAAGGGCAGGTTCCGGCCATGTACAAACAACTCCGCTTGAGGACGAGGAAGAGCCTCGTCCGCCATATCTACGTGTACGTTGTGCTTTTAGCCAGACGGGAAATACAGATGGTGATACGAACGCGCGGGATGTGCGTAGAAATCTCTTATCTCAGGCTGACGTGAATCGTTTCCTGCAGGCTATGCTTGCCGGAGCTACCGGTGGTACATGCGGCGATATGCTCATGCATTCACTGGATACGGTCAAGACGAGGCAGCAAGGCGATCCCCACTTCCCTCCAAAATATACGTCGATGACCTCATCGTATGCGACGATTTATCGACAGGAAGGTTTACTACGAGGTCTGTACGGTGGAGCTGTTCCTGCATTTTTCGGCTCCTTTCCAGGCACTCTGATCTTCTTTGGTGTGTATGAGTTCACCAAGCGACGGATGATCGATTCTGGCATCAATGCCAATGTGGCATACCTGTCCGGAGGTAAGAGCGTTATCCGGCCTCTGTTAACCTGCATTGGGTTCAGTGACGCTGACATAGCTGCCCAGGTTTCTTTGCGGATTTAGCCGCGTCCGTTGTCTATGTCCCTTCAGAGGTCTTGAAGACACGACTGCAACTTCAGGGACGCTATAACAACCCTCATTTCAATTCGGGATACAACTACCGCTCTACCCGCGATGCTCTCCGCACGATCATCCGCCAGGAAGGATTTTCCGCGCTGTTCCATGGATACAGAGCTACCATCTACCGTGATCTTCCGTTCTCTGCCCTACAATTCGCATTCTACGAGCAGGAACAGCGACTGGCGAAAGAATGGGTAGGATCTCGAGACATTGGACTTGGACTGGAGATCCTGACTGCGGCAACCGCCGGCGGAATGGCAGGTGTGATAACGTGCCCCATGGATGTGGTGAAGACCCGCATCCAGACGCAGCAGAACCCTGATGTCCAGGGTCCCGCGTCTTCGTCGAAGCCCGCCGCGGAACATGCGTCGATCAAAGAGAGCCCCCGGCAGCATACGTCGTCTCAAACTACGTCGAGTCTGCGGACACACTCGCGGCCGATTTCCACTGGGGGTGCGTCGACGTCAGTGGCCCCACCGGGAGCGCCTCGTCTGGATACCTCGTCTTTCTTGACGGGTCTCAAGATGATCTACCAGACGGAGGGGCTTGGTGGCTGGTTCCGTGGCGTTGTCCCTCGTGGAGTGTGGACCAGCATCCAGAGTGGAACGATGCTGGTCATGTACCAATACTTGTTGAAACAGCTGGAATACTACGACAACCTGGGGGAGATGAACCCCCTTTGATCGAACGGGCTTCCTTTGTTGCATAACATGAAGGGGATGGAGTGTTGCTACGGGGCAACACTTGTAGATAATGTTGAATCATCACCACATGGGAAACGATGTGGGTAGGGCGTTCTGGGACAGGGATGTTGCATGATCTCTCACTTCTTCTTATATTATCACCCGTTTGCTTGGATCAGTCTGGGGCATGGCAGCATTTTTCCTTTGGGGTTTGTTCTTGCCGTTCGTTTCTGTTTTAGACACCCTGCTCCGGACTGGTATGGCTTACATAGATTTTTTTTTTTTCTATTTTTTTATTTGGTTATTTAGACATGGTTAACCACGCCACGATGTATATTATTATTATATAAAGATAGAGCCCAAGAATCTCACTGATTGTGTGTGAAGTTGTCTTTTCTAAAATGAGGGTATTTTGAGGTCAGGTGGAAATGTAAACAAACGGATGCGGTCAAGCGCCACCCAATGGACCAATCAGATTCCGCCTGCAAGGACTGTGACCTCACTGGGTATTTATTTGATTCGCTTTTATTATTTATTGGGATTGTTTTTCCCTCTTCTTATTTATTTCTTTTTTGGATTTAGAATCCTTTTGGTCCCCGAAATCCTGCACGCGCTTTTATCATCACATCTCCAACTGCCCACATTCTCCCCCTTACTCTCAAATTCACCACCTCTCCTTGTCGCATGGTCTTTCCCCGCGCATCATGTCTGCCGCATTGCCTTATTTACAGAAACTGCGCAAGTCCCAACTGACGGACTGGGCGGAAGCTACTGATCTTCACAAGTAAGTGTCGGTGCCGTTGTTTATCGCCCCACCACGATAACAACCCCTCCGGCTGACCGTTGAACAGCTACGAGGAATACAATAAACCAGAACTCGCCACGCTGCTGGATCAACATCTCCAGGCCAACCAATCCATCTTCGCCAAGGATGCGCGACTAACGGATTACTACCGACGCCTGTCGCAAACCCCGCGCAAGGGGTCGCCGGTCAAGAGAGACCCCCGGGTGGACGTCTCGCCGCTTGCGAAAGAAACACCGCGGTCGGTGCTACGGTCGGCGCGTCGCAGGCAGACGCGAGCCCTGGAGGAAGAGGTGAAGGAAGAGGCGGCGAAGGAGGAGACGCAGGAGGAGCCCAAGGAGGAACCCAAGGCGGAACCCAAGGAGGAGGCTGAGCAACCCCAGTATGTCCTGTATTCTTTCTAATGTTGCGCGCGCATGGCGAAAAAGGGCCGTCGCGCGACTGCAGTAATCATGACGACATGAACTGATCGATTTCTTGTTGCAGAGAGGATTCCGACGCGTCCCCACCACCTGTCTTCCAGACGCCTGGGCCGTCCCCGCTGAACTTCCAAACGGTCTTGCCGGCATCGCCGGCCCTCATCGCTGATGCGGTCGACCGAGAATCCGTCGCGTGGCGCAATAAGGCTAGCGATTGGTGGACTGGCTCAGGGGTGCCGGATGGCACGCAGTCTCTGCGCTCCTTGCTAAGCAGTGTCAAGGCCGTCCAGATTCTGACATTGCTGCTCGAAGGGTGTTCCATCATTTATGAAATTCTGCCGCTGCGATTCGTGTCTACCATTTCCATTTGGGCGATTGAGATCTCCATCAAGGTCCCCGACGTCTTCGTCCTCGTCGATGGCGTATTCTGGGCCCCGTTCTCGCTATGGCTGCTGACCAGCATTCTCCTGCCGCTTACCGCCGCATACTTCTTCAACATCAGCCTGAATATCACACAAGGTGGCAGTGCTGCGTCCCACACGCGCCGCAGCCGCGCGTCGCCTGCGAACTTCGACCCGCTCAGCTTCAACATTGCTAAGGCGGGACTCGCATACCTGGTGTATGCCCGGCAGTTCGACTTCTTCAACCTGTACAGCCAATACTCGATCGCCCGGGTGAACGCCGCCGTCCCTGGTCAATGGGCTGGCTTGGTGACCGGGTCTGCGATCGGTTTGATCGGCACTATCTATGAGGCGATCCTGCGGAAGTAAATACGTGGTGTATATACGTGAATGCGTTTTGGGCAGAGCCACTGGTTGGACGCAGTTTGATTGAGTAGGAAGTGCTCCGTACAGGGGAAGGCATGCGAGTGCCTGAAGGAGGGGGTTGTGAGAAGGGTTTTATCGCCTAGAAGGGGGGGGGGGGGGTTTCTTTTCTGGATGATCGTTGGATTCTATGTGTGCAGTGCGATGGTGCTTCGGTCTTGTTCAAATGCTTATCCGGCGTGAGAATGGTGTGGTGCGTTACTTGCTTTGAATTGATCTGATCTTTCGAGGGGCGTTTACTTGGATTTCCTGGATGTACTATTGCGAAACCGATATAGGATGTTCCAATACAGATCCTTTTTCATCGTACACTGTAGCTACTGGTATCTCCTAGGCGTTGTGTGCTTTATTTCACCCAACTCAACAAGCGCCCCCAATCTCTCTCTCCAACCAACAATATACATAAAGAGAAGAGAGAGAGAAAGAGAAACAAAACTATCTATCCCTCTTCAACCTCCCCGCCAACTCCAGCGTAAAAAGCACCGGAATCAAACTCTCCACCGTCACCACGTCACTCCGAATATGATTACTCGTACTCAACTGTCCCCCAATCTCCGTCTTCCAATCCACCACATCCCACTGAAATCCACTCGTCGTGATCCTCGCCGGACCCAAAAGCGGTATAATCCCCACATTCTCCTCGAGCAGATACTCTGCAGAAGATATCCCAGGCCGATTCGTCCCCGGGGTCTGAATCGTATTCCTTCCCGGCCGTAGAATAAACGTAATACTCTCCTCGGAGATGAGATAAAGATTCCCTATCTTCCCTGTCCCTTCTTGATTGGACGTCGAATGACCCCCAGTAGAAGATGATGAAGAGCTGTAAGATTGAGTCATGGAATATAAATGATGAATTTGCGAGAAAGCTTGGTCGACGCGGCCGCCCAGTCCACCGAGGATTAGGACGTCTAGTTCTCTCCCTTCTCCTTCTGATTTTGATATCGAAGATCCAGAGGAAGAAGTAGACGGGGAGAGGAACTCCCCAACATGCGCACGTAAATAATCCAAACATTTAGTGAAATCCGTCGAATACTGATCTTCATCTTCGATAATGCGAACCCCTAGATTGGCGTAGTGGGATCTTGTATCGGGGGTTATGGAGTCTAGATCGCCGATGATGAGATCGGGGAGCTTTGGTTTTTCTTTATTATTAGAATATATGCATATATATATATATATTTATATACATAGTATACTTGGAGGGAGAGAAGGGGACTTACATCTATTGATTCCCGGTCATGCGCTTTCATCATCGAGTAGAAGCGGTTTGCGCCGCCGTCCGCGCAGAGCGTTACCTTTGCTTTTTTTGTTTTTTAGTCTTGGGTTTATGATGTAGATTATATAGTGTTTTGGATCCATATATACATATATCTCATATATGTTAAGGGTGTATGTAGAGGAAAGAACATACCATGTCTCTTCAAAACGCGAAACGCGCGCTCATTGATTGGCTGATTGAGGATCAACAGCGCAAAAGGGTTTGGGGTGTGATCGTCACGGAAGAACTGGGTTGGATCCCACTCCATTTTGCTTTTCTTAGGTTGTTTTTATTAGTTTAGTTTTCTTTTTTTTTTTTTTTTGGAGGATGAGGTAGATAAGG